CACACACACACACACACACGCGCGTACAGCAGAGAGGGTTTGGAGTCGATAAATACTACGGGAGTGACGAACCGTGGGGTCCTTATCTCTGTTGACACACACACATTCACACACACAAACACACAAACACACAAAGAGGTGTAAATCCGACCGTGCAACCTCCACCTTGGGTAATGCTAATGCCGGCGGTACCGTAACTTTCAACCCTCATAACTCGAAAAGTACTGATTAAAAAAAAGTTTCATTATAGCGTTTTGGAAAGCTCTCGAGGTAAGCTACAAGAATATGCATTGAAAAATGGGGGTTTCCATTTAAGAAATTAAAAGTGACCTTCACGTGATCTTCAAACAACTATCCAAGGTCAAACCAATGACACCATCTTATGTGCCCCTCGAAGTCACAAAACTTTTGTCCGAAACATTTTTCTTTAAAATGTCACGTTTACGAAAAAATCGGGTGAGACGGGTGGTCTGGGACACCCTATATATAATTATATTTAATATAATATATATCGCATATATATATTAAATATTGAAAAATAAATATTTAATTAGAGGATCGATTAATAATCAATAAGCTTGTATGCAAACACTTGTTGCATTTCTCACGTTTTCTTTTTCAGGGCTACAGCTTCGCGCCGACTTGTAGTAGTGCCAACCCAAGCGAAGAGCCAGAGATTCCCAATCCAGTGCCCGTGGAGGTGGAGCAACCGGCGAAAGATAACGCAAAGAATATTAACATAGGCGAAGACGAAGTAATCGAGAAAGCGGCCAAGAGCGGCATGGGCAAGGAAATCCCGAACGCGAAGAACGGAATAGTGGAGGAGATCGCCAGCCAGAAACCGCCGACGCCTCAGGAAGACCTGGTCGAGCAACTTCGCGACAAGGTGACGTCGGTGGCCAAGCCGACACTAATAACTGGCATACAGTCGAAGTACGAGAACGTTCCTCTGGTAGAGAACTCGAATCTCAAGATAAATACGGACGATATCGCTAGCGTGGCGAATGTTCGCACGGCCAGCAACAACGGCATCGTACCTGGTAACATAGATGGTTAGTGTAAAAGTTTTAATTTACTTACAATTACAACAGGTTCAAAAGCGAGACGAGAATAATTTCCCGATAAACTTTGAATAACAGCTATATTACATCAATATTATAATTCCCCATTCAACAGTGTAACTGTTACACACATGTGTTATATTAAACTCACATTGTTGAGTGGGAAATAATAACATTGACGTAATGTTACCGTTACTCGATGTTTATTGAGTTACATTGAAATCTTATTAAAATTATACATTATAAAACGTGTAATTCTTGCTTTAATGATAATTATTAAACGTATGGTGTCTACATGAATTATTCTCATTATTCTTGTAAGACACACACAAATTTTGTGCTTTTAACGCAACGTTTATCTTGCAATTTTTCAAATCCGACTTTCGACAGTTCCACAGATGGAAATCGGGAGCGGCCAAACGCCGGACGAGCCGGACATCAACCTGAATCCCGTCTTCGACAGACTAGAACCTCCAAGTGTGAATCTCGAGGACATAGAGGGACCGTCGGCTTTCAATAAGCAGGATCAAGATGTTGATTTCGACGGGAATCCCAATTTCGTCGTGGTTGATCACGAATTAGCGACTCCCGACGGCATCGAAGGACCCACGCCAGTCTATGTGAAGCCCGACATGGTGAATATCGACGATGAATCACTGCTGGACATGATCAATCGCAACGTTTCGGCGGAGGAAATGGATCCGAACAAAACTCCTTCAGAATCATCGCGTATGTAAATGCAAACTAATCGAGAAGACGCGAACATTGTTAGACCAAATCGAAAAATCTCGTAACAAATTCGACCATTCGCACTACACCGGATTGGCACATGCTGAAGGTTGCCATAAATGAAGCAATATTTAAATAAAAAGAAAACAGGCATTTGGAAAGATTAAGCAAGAAATCATTAATACAACGTTATCACAGTGATATTTCGAAATAACATTTTCAAATATGTAGTTCTTAATGTTGTATACAACATTCATTGTTAACGATATTTGATTCAAACGTTAAAAATAATATTTCTACACTATGATTTTAATATTTAAAAATATTATATTATCGGTTATAGGTTCAAGTAACAATTTAAAAATATGTATAAAATCTACGTAAAATCAACGTTTTAAAAGATGAATTTAATGTTTCTTGCTTACTGGCTAAACATTTAGTAATGATATTGTTATATTATTTAGCAGAATATATATCAATTATTTCATTGTTAAAGTGCTTATGTTATATTATTGGATTGTTATATTATTTGAATACTTTGTAGCGGCTTTTAGCATGCACTAATCTGGTGTGGAAATTGAATTCGTTATTATATTCGTCTCTTTGTATTTGTCATATCAACATAAACAATTCAGAAAAATTCTGATCGGCTATTGTTTTGCTTTTAGCGTCAGCACTCGCTTCGAACGGATCTTGTCCTGTATGTGGTGACGAGTTACCAATGGACATCAACGAGTTTTATTGTTCCGCTAATAGCGTCGTGAAAGCGGCGATCAGACGATTACGAAAGGCGAGATTTCTGTTAGATATACCACCATCGCAGCCAGTTAAACGTCTTCGTTCGACAATTGCCTTTGTTTTAGATCCCGATTGTTTGTGTCCGCCTTTGGATAAGCGTAAGTGCAATTAAAAATAGTTATGCTATGCAGTTATGCGTACTTCATCATTATTTCAGATATGGGAACGTCTCATTCTTTCTTTACTTTTCTTCATTTATTTAGAAACATCTCATTTTTAAGAAAAAAACTTTTTTCACTCGACTTTTCTATTACCTGACTTGAGATCTTTAAAAAGAAACTCGATCATAAGAAATCATGTTCGGTAATTAACTTTTTTAAAGACAAAGCAAAAGATTTAAAGGAAAAAAAATAATAATAATGTTTACACAATATTCGCAAAGTGAGAACTGTAATTTTTTTAAGTTGTTTTTATTAGATTTTTTATCAGAAAAACAGGCAATGACTGTCGAAAGCACACCTGACTGCGATTTCTTTAAATTACCATGTGGATTCGATTGTCCATGACTTGTTCATCCATAATTCTTATTTGTTCACCAAGTCAAAACGAATGATTAACAAGCGGCTCAAGAAAATAGACAATGATCGTAATGAATTAGCTATTCATATAATACTATTGAAATTTAGTTACCAGATCTAACTATGGAACTAAAATTTTAACTATGGGAGCTAAAAACTAGGCACAGGGACGAAAAAATGAGCTAAGTTAACTAAATTTCAATATTATTATTATATATACAGCTAATCTTTACCTGTGAAAGCTAATTTTTTCCGTGTAGGACATCTTACTTTTTCAAAAATGAAACACTACTTTTGACAGCTAAACCGCTCCCATGCCTGCTATTTCTGTCTCTCTAATCAAGTGTAGTTACATAATTATATTATCCTGGGATAAGATGCCTCAGAATAATATAATCCGGAACAAATGTGTGCAATTATAAAATGGTTGAACTATTTGCAGCTGGAAGTCTGGCGCTAATGATGCATCACGCGGACAGCGAGTTCGGCAAACGTTCGCACAGTCAGTACGTCTTGGACGAGTGGGTCTCCATATACGGATTACAACCCGTCGGTGGTGTTCCACGGGAGATAATGGATGCTCGATTAACGTGTACAAAATAAGACGGACCTTCCGATCCTTCTACGTTTGACTGATCGTCGGCGGCGTGCCGAGAACACGTTTTATTACGCATACTGTCTCCGATGAAGCTTGGTTCGCGAAAAGCCAGTCGAGTCACGTCGAGAGGAGAGAGAAAGATCAGCTGCGAATTTACCGAGTCGTGAGAAAAGTCATCGTTACAATTCGATCCACGTGTTACGGGACGTCCGTGATAATTCGACAGCAGACTTCACGCAAGGTACTCTAATTCATTTCGAGCGTGCGCCTCTTAAATTCATATCGTGCCGATTTATCCTTGCCGCAAAATTCCGTCTTAATTACAAGTTAGCTGCGTTGCAAACTCCGCATTATCGAGACACGGTATCCTAAGTAGGATATCATTTTTACAATAAAAGTTATCGAACGCGTTATCGTAATTCGTAACTGTGAATAGAGCGAACGATCAACGAGTTGAATAAACTGTAAATAAAGAACAGTGATTTACGACACAATAACTGGGTAATTCAATGGATCCATAAGATGAAATCTTAAATCTGACAAACATTCGATAGAATTCGATGTCGGATTCGTTTGTTCTTTTTTTTTTTATCGCAGCACTGTCATCCAGTCATTTAAGTCAATTTTTGTTACTTTTCTTGACAAGTCGCTAAAAAATTCACCATTGTCCAAAATGGGTCTCTATATAGTCATTTTTTTGAGCTGTCGTTAAATTGGTAAATTATGACATTCTATATATGTATTAAGTGTACAAATTAATTCCTTGCTTTCTTTGCAAAATTCAAAATTGATTTATAAAAGTACAAGAAAGACTTTAATCAATAAAATAATCTCCTTCATTTTCGATGACCTTAAGCCATTTATCGGGCAGCTGACGAATCTCACTACGATAGAAACGTGACGGTTTTGAGTCGATGAAATCATCAATATTTTTTCGGACATTTTCCAATGTTTTGAGGTGAAATACCAGTCGAATGATGGAGCAATTGAAACAAGTGGTAAAGGAGCCATATCTGGTGAATACGTTGCATGCGAGAAAGTTTCCCAACCCAAATCAAAGATGACTTTCTGAGTCCCTTTTGCAACGTACGGCCGAGCGTCGTCACGCTGCAAAATGACTTTTCGATTTTCCTTTACCAGTAAAAGGTCTCTTTGCTCCAATTCATCGCTTAATTTGATAAGCTATTGCTGATATGTTTTTAATTCGTACTATAAAAAGAATTTTTTTTTTTTTATATGTTAAGTTATTCAAAGATAAACCCCTGGAAAGGTAAGAATAAATGTTACTTTCTTGCTTAAATGGCTTAGTCACTCTCAGAATTTGACAAAAAGTCTTCACTTTTCTTTGGTTATTAATTTGATGTCTAAGAGGACATTTTTTTGTCAGCTTTTCTGCCAAGAAGCAGTGATTATTCCACTTTTTTTGTTTCGGTGATGGCAACGCTGGAGTCGTGAAGAGAGAAACGAAGGAACGGACGAAGAGAAGCGAGAGCGACCTTCAGTTTCAGACAAACCGTCTTATCTTTATTTGTTGTCCACGTTTGATCGCACTGTAATAGTTATTACAAATTAACAATCACCTGTCGAGTTCTCGCTACATTAAATAGTATTTTATTACAGTGTATGTACGATTATTTATTTAATATGACTTCAATCCACGATATTATATTGTCCATTTGACATTTAATGTCGATCGGATCGGATATGCTTCTGAGGACGAGAAGATACCTCTAAGTCTCTAACGAATTCACACATTCGTCGTTCATCACCAACATCGTCATTCTCGGTTTACACACTTAGAAAGACGATATTACTATTAAATATCAAATGGAGAGATTCTCTCTGGAAGTATCGTTATTTATTCACGCTTGTATACAGATAAATGCTTGAAATAAATAAACGTATATATACTATATAGAGCTCATTATACACTATGCGTCGCGCCGTTTCGTAGGAGAGAAATACAGCTTAAGAACTTAGCTACTTAGTTTTTGAGGAATGAAAGGAACAGATGAGAATGTGCAGAAGTTGGCAGTAGAATAATCGGTCGCTTCGCCGTCATTCATCTATCGCGATATGCCGAATAATTGATTCGTGGCTCCGACTGCGCACGCCCAAAAAGACAGAGATAGGCAGTGATTAGAGTACACACCGGCGGTGAGCAAAGAACTGCACTGGCAACAATAACGGCTCTGAACGCAAAGAACGCGTGTATAAAAAGGATACATGGTTTACATGCGCGTATTTATAGATACATGTATATATATATATATATATATAAAAAGAAAAAAGTCGATATAAAAAAAAGATTCTGAAACAACGTGACACGTGACGCCTAATTACTCGACAATTAATTCGCGCTCTCTCGTCGCTCGCTCTCGAGGTTCCCTCTTGCCCGAGACAGGAATGAATGTAAGACCCGTAAGCAATGACGACCGCAGTAGAAATACATCACCTTAACGAAGGCGATACGATTACGTTCAATTAACATTTAAACATTTTTTTTTTTCGACATTGAGAGAAACGTCGCGAGTACAACTCTATTATTAGTATATGTACCATCTTTTTTTCGTTTTTTCTTCTGTGAATCGTAACTCGACAGTAACTCTTTCTCTCTCGCTTTCCCTCGACATTGGAAAATACACTACTGGAGAACGGTAGCCATCTCGAGGTTAAACGCGTGCGTGCGTGTGCAATCACGTGTAGAATCACTAAGGAAACAAAAGGAAAAGTGAAGCGGAACTGGCATACTCGCGCTCGTAGAATCGTGAAGAATAAGAAGAAAGAGCAGGCAAACGTGGAAAAAAATGGAAACACGCATATAAAATGTAGGATACTTGTGTAATGAGAATTCAGTATGCGGCTCATGATTGAATCGTATCTCGAGGATATGCACAAGCTCGATATTAAATTGCGTATGACTTTCTCTCGCGGTGGAGCACCCGTGGCAGAAACATCATCTGCCGTCATCAGATGCCGTGGTTCGATTACAGACTAAGTGCGCGCGATAACGGTGGCAATTAGAGAGAGAGATTCGTTTTGCGGCAAGCGCGTTCTGCGCATTAAGCGGGGGGGGGGGGNGTACTGGAGTATTGTCGTTGTATCGATACGGATCTCGCTTTGACAATTCCCTAATGAAAAAATCAGTGTTTCCCTTTTTTCGTAAATACCAATACATTATAAAAAATCTCCCTACTCTCGCTGCTCGCAAATTACACATTATGCTACAATCGTAAATAGTACATGTATAACGCCGTATTAGCCTATACGCAAAGTCATTCTCGAAGTTAATTCTCAGTTCCGAACGTCTCTCGGCTTGCACGCGTGCGACAAATTATATAAATGTCGATTTAATATGGAGCCTGCTGCGTGTTAATCGTTGGGATGATATCACACTGGGGCTTTTTAGTGGCGGTAATAGCAGCGGCGGCGCAATTAAAAAAAAAACGCAACAGCGTGTCTCGCGATACTTTCTCGCTCTTCTCGGCGAATAAACTCGAAAGTCGTGCAGCGCGAAAATATAGAGCATACCTTGCCGATGATAATACCGCGCTCCCGGTACGAACGGACGACTGGGTCGCCTCGCGTTTACACGCTCTTAAGCTGAGTGCTCACACTTGGAGAACGAACAAGGGACCGAACAGCGAATGCTTTTACTTTCGTTGTTGCAATTTGAGAAATATGCACGTCACGATGAAGCTGAACAGAACGCGCTCCGAGTCGTGGTTAAACACGTACGTATGCAATGACGTGGATTCGTTGAGAAAACAAAAACGAAAACCAGCAAAATTACATAGAGAACAGTGTTACTTGCACTGCGAGGAACGACAATTACTCAGTTTATTTTTCTTCTAAATAATGGTCCTGAACAAAGAGTATTGCCTTGATATGGTATTAAAATGTACGCATCACACAAATATTAGAAAAGTTCATTCGGGGTTGCTACAGGAAATGAATGTTGAAAGTTCCCCCAAAAATACTTGATAAAAGTATGTATATCCACAAGTATATCACAAATTCATCAAATTTATTCAAAACATATTCTTAACTTTAGTAACTTTAGTAAGTTTAGTACTTCAATCAAGAATATTAACGTCTTTTTCTCTCTACCATCCTGATTTTAATTTAATCGACGATTAACTCAACAGAATTGACCAATCGCACCAGCCAATTAGCTGAACCGACTAATGTAATTGTTCGATTTCCGTCTAGTTAATCGTCGATTATATTTAAATCAACTAAAACTTCGATTTACTTGTTCCAATTAACAAAACTTATCTTTTCCTCGATAAAATCTATAATATTCCTGAAAAAGAGGACATAGTCTTCTTTTAAACAGATAATAATGAGCTTTTCTAATACTCATCACATGAGTACACTTTAATATTATCGTCAAGAAAAAAAAATCTTCGTTCATGATAACTATTACCCGAAGGAAGAGAAATAAACTGAGTAATTGCTTTTCCTCGCGGTATAAGCAATATTTTTTCGTGCGTGGTAGATTCGCGCTTCTCCGAAAAATAAAACAGGGACATTTTGTTCGACAAGGCGGTCTATCAGAGAAAAAAAAACTCGTCTAGACACGTCATATACAAGTATTACACTCAATATAGCTTCCTCTTAATTAGCGCCGCATTTTTCGTAGATCTGCGAAGGGAAACGACAAATTCCACGAAAGACGCGACGCTGACTCCGCGAATCGAGTATATCTCTCCGCAGTGTGGAAAGCTGTTGAAATATCGCCTTCGCATATCATCACATTGTTCGTTCGTTGTTCGTTCTCGTTCGGTGTACACACCTTTTTACAAACGCCAGAGGAATCGACGTCGCTGTCGCGACGACGTTCGCACGCGAGCTGCGCCGATGACGAGGACGACGCGCGTACCGCCTCGCGGCGAGATTGGAGCCCGCCGGAACACTCAGTAGATCTTGGGCGCTGAACGGTCGTTGATCGGACCACTGGTCTTCCGCAGCGACGTGCCCCGTCTGATCTGATCCATGAGGGAATCGCGGACTTGCAGCGGATCCACGATGGGCACGCGATTGCCCATGATGCGCCTGACGCTCGCGGACCTGCTTGCACCGCCGTTGCCCCCTTGCAACGCCTGCTGCTGCTGTGCCAGCTTGGCGTTCAGCGTCTCGAGGAAGCCGGACGCCGCGCTCTTGCTGTTCTTCTGGTTGGACTGCTGCGTCTCGACCAGCGACTGCTTCCTCAACGATTTCGGGCTGCCGCTGCTGGCGCCGGCCGTGGCGCTGTTGCTCGCCGCGGTGCCGATGAGCTTAGCGTTCAACACCGCCATGAAACCCTGGCCGACGCCGCCCGGCCCTTGGCTACTCTGAGCGCCAGCCTGACCGCTCGCAGCCATACTGCCAACCGCAGCGGTCGCTCCGCGTTCCTGCGATATCGAGCGGACGGCCGAACGCTCCACCGACGTACGCGAGATTTGCAGCACGGCGTTATGCTGGATCGGATTGTTGTGGGGCGGCTGCTGCTGTTGTTGCTGCTGCTGCTGCTGCCCGGTGGCTTTCCGTAGCAGCGACGGGCTGGCCGGGGTGTGGCGGAGCTCGGTCAGGGTCCTCACCGTCTCCGAAACAGAGATCGATCTACGAAGGGGAAAGGAAATGTTGAGGCGTTTTGATCTTAAATCCGGATCTACAATAGGGACGGTAAGCCTTTGGGTACTTCACTCGAAAGCACTAAATTGCAACGCGATTTGTAGCAAAAAGCGTTTCCAGCGCTATCAGACGTCGCGGGTTCCGAAGTTTCCCAAGGGTTGTTGTAACTTTTGGCAATGCGGGAAACGTCTTTTGTCAGAAATTACGTTATATTTTACTGCCTAGAGTAAAAGGCTAAGAGCTTCGAAACAAAATTAACTTTATTAAGATGTCCTTTTGAAGGATGATTCTTCATATTTTTATTCACATACTATATAGTAAGATTATCTTTGTTGTAGCCGATTTTTTAAATAATGATTTTTGATCAAGTTATTAATATTCAAAGTCAAAAGTTCGATTTTTCGCCAAAAATTTTCCCTTTTTTATTTATAAAAAAAACTACAATAGATATAAAAAAAATCCTACGACAAAGACTAGATAATCTTACTAAAAATATTTACGCAAAACTACAGAGCTAAATCGGTCCAATAGTTCTCGAGATATTTTGGATACCAATTGACGATGATGAGTTCCACGGAAGCAATAAAGACAGCGTTACAACTTTATGTAATGGGCTTCATATAATATGTAAATAAAAATAAAATAAAAATGAAAAGTCAGCTCTCAAAAGAACATCTTCATGAAGTCAATAATGTAGTCAGCAGAAAAATTCCAACATTGATGATTAATTAAAATTAATTTCTTCAAGCTTCTGGGGAGGAAGCATTCCCACTGATTACGGATAAAGTTTTCCTTAAAACTTACTAACCATAATTTTTTCATTCATAGAATCGTCCATCGTACCTTTGAGGCGTGGGACTGGCTGTGGGCGAGGAGCCTTCCAGGAGGAATGCAGGTGGCGGAGGAAGATTTTCCGCCTCTTCGCAAGCGTTCTCGTTGCGATCTTCGTTGAGAGATGAGGGCGGCGCCGTGATGACGGTGGACGTGCGTCTCGTCGGGGGCGGCGGTCTAGTTACCTGCTGCATGGATCCTCTACGCGCCATCAGCGTAGCTGCGGCGCCAGGTACGTTCCAAGTGTTCTCGTTTTGATTGTGAAGCGAATGGGAATGTGGCAAGGTATTTTGGCTGCCGTACCCGCTGCTGGACTCCAAGCTGGACTCGGATGTTTGACTGCCGGCATCTCTCTCCGGGTTCTCGGCCTGCGTCGGAATTGGCAAAGTGGTGAGTCACGCTAATACGAATGCGAATTCTTTCAGCGATCGATACGAGACAGAAGCATTCGATCTTCAAATAAAAATGTTTCCTCGTATTTCTGTGTGACCGCATTTTTATTTCTATTTTCGAACTTTGCTTCAGAGTTATCACATTTACATATAACTAATATAATTACTATATTCAAGCCATATTGGGTTAAGCACAGATCTTTTAGTGCTAAAGAGATATTTGAATAATTACTATGAGTATTAAGATTAAGTCAAAATCAAATCTTTATGTAATCTAAAAGATCCCTGCTTAGTGCACAATATGATGTGAATGTGCAGCAATGTGACCTTAATTCAGTAATTTTCGTAGTTTTAATAAGTTTATTTGTTAACACTTAAACTGCCCAGCTCGGCCAATTTCGAGTGTAAAGTCTACGGGATCGCAACTGTACATATAGACAGAACACAAATCATGTATCCAATAAAAGGATAATGATAAGTGCTTCTATCCTTCCATGTGTATTCCATATCTCATATTATCTAATGTTAATATATTATCTAATGTTAATATATTCTCGAGAAACTGATATAAGAACAACCACAATTATGCATGGATTGCTTTCCAAAATATCGCCAGAAATATATGCGAGTTTGATCACTTTGCAAAAAACAATAATATTAATTTTGTCTTTTTATGTTAGTACGTATTATGTACAAGTTATATTAATTATATTTTACTGTTTTCGTTTAACATTTTTACAAACAGTTCATCAAACCACTTCTATTTCAGTTATTAAAACCATCACTCGTATATAGATGACGTGGCAGTCCAAGCGTTAAATGATGAACTAACATATTTTTGTTTTCGCAATACTTTATCGGTCCCTGGTGCCGTTAACGATGTAGGCGGGGGCGGCAGTGGAAGCTGCATTTCTTGAGCGCGACTGGCCGCCAAGTTCGCCAGCTCGTGCATATTCACGTACATTGGCTGCTGGAGCTGATGAGTTGCCAGTTCTGCGTCACATTGACAGAGTCTTCGCATTGATTTAATCGTGCGCGCGTTTGCGATAAGAAAACCCGTATGAATCGTCAAACACGAACCTTTCGCCAGGTGAGCCGGCAAAGGTAACTTGGGTTTCCCCCGAGGGCTGCCGGGCGCGTCGCTCTTCATCGGGATCGTCGGTCGCTCCAGACTAGAACACCTGCTCGGTATGGGCGGACGAGTGCTGCCGTTATTCCTACGTAGTTGTACCCTAGACAGCTGCTGATTCGAGGAAGAACATGACGAGGAAGAGGAGACCGGGGAAGCGGGTTGGCTGTGACAACAGCTGCTGCCGTCGCGATCCGGAGCTTGGAATGTGTAGACGCTGAGCGCCGGTCTCTGATGCCCTTTCTCATATGCTGCAAAAACACAATGGACGAATCAGCTCCGTCGAATCGTGAGACGCGTTCGTCTGAACGAAACTCCGTCCGCGATTCGATAGGAAGAAAACAGAAGCAGAGTTGCCACAAAAAATGAATTTTGAGGTTCCTTGACTTTTCCACAGCAATGTGGAATCTTGAACTTTAACGTTTAGAAGTAGGGAAACTTATATTATTAGAAGAGCAACACAAACTTGAAAGTTAACATAATATAATCCTGAATGCGAATTCAGACCAGCGAAAAAATGAGTATTGGGAAAAAGAATACAGTCGAGAACATTTGAGGAAATTGCAAGCAAAGTTCAAAATTCCAGTTTTTAATATCTTTCCCTAACTTTTCCAGGTCTTCTCCTGTCTGTGGCAACTCAGAACATACGTGTACACGGCTTACCGGAAGAGATAGTGTGCGGCCGTTCGTTCACGGCGCCTGGATTTTGCCGGTCGTACTGAACGGACGTTTCCTGCAAATCAGGCCAAGTTGAAGTTGACACGGGTCTTGTTACAGTGCAACCGGTACTTTGATTACTTAGAGAAGACACATTCGATACCTAGAAACACAAGCCGCCTCTCTTATTAGCCGATTAAATGTGCGCGGTGACGGAGGATATACGGACGGCACACGAATGCGAAACATTCTCAACGAAGTTAAGCTAAAGAATCCCGTCGTTACTAACCGCTGTGAAGGGGGTTCATAAGCAAGTCGAGCAGCAAACTAATCACTAGACGGACAGGGAGGTCGGCGAGATTTCACGCCGAGTCTTCCCACGTCACGCGATCCGGCTGAAGCGCGTCAATTGCACTTAATCACGCGATCGCACGCGCCTCGCGTACGTTCTTCTCGGTCCTCCCCTCCCCTTCCCCGCTGCCTGGGAAGACTCCGTGAAACGTCGCGGGTTCTCGTGTCCCACTAACTGATCGCTAACCAAAGTGCCTTACTTGGTGTTCGGAGATGGGCTGATTGTACAGCGTGTCCTGAGACGTGAAGCCGGAATCACGGGAACTGCCGCTGGTCATGTGACGCAACGTCACGATGCCGCTGATGCTGGCGGGCCTGACACGACCGTCGACCGGCTACGACAACGAGTACAACATCGACTACCACATACACTAAGCTGCCGCTCGGGCGGGCAATGATAGAGATGCGTCTCTCATGCTGTAAAGTGTCTATGTGCGACGCTACCATAGTGCAATAGCGGCTGTGATACGTCAACAGTGGTCACCAACGTCATGCGATGTACATTAAGAAGAATGAGAGGGAGGGAAAAATAGAAGAGAGACGGAGGAAGAGAATGAAAACGGCGGTGGATCTCGTCGAGTTAACACGGGATGGGATAAGAGAACGGAAATAAAAAGGCCGATCGATGCGTTTATCAATTAAATTACCTGAGAGAGCGAACGGTGCCACGGATGTCCGGACGGGCTCGGATGGCTTTTGCATGATCCACTACTGCTACTAGTTAGAGAACTGATCGAACACATAGAACTCTTCCTCGATCCGAGAGACAGCGACGGACTCGACGGCGGCGTTGCCAATGACCATTGAGTAACGTCGCAACCTTTTATGTCCGTTATTACCTGCTCGGATGCAGGCGGTAAATGGTGCGGCGACGCGGCGTGTCTTTGCAACTGATCGGAGACCTCTTGAAGATGCGTCAATTCCATTAGCATCGCTATCTCCTCGTCCTAAACGGTTGGATCATGTGTCGCGTGAGATAGGATGCAAACTTCGCTTCGAGTAATTAGAGCAACAGGTAAATGGGGGAGATAATTCTACTTCGTGGAACGCGTGGATGTTGCAACACGCTCACGCATAGGTAATAGAGGGGAGTATCTGTACTGAGATGTACTAACGAGCACTGGTTTCAGGAATCGCGCGAGAAGGCAAAATCTGCCTCTCTCCTCGAGGAGGGCCGCCCGGACGGCTTTTCGTTCCGTTTCCTCTAAGCTCAGCCTTTTCTCTTGGACTACCGCCGCTGACGACTCCAGCATTCTGTTGAGTTCTACGTCGCCGGGGCACGTTCCGTGACTCTGTGATTGCCCCTGAACGTGTAGATGAACCTGACCTTTCCGCGCTTTCTTCTTCTGCAGCCGTAGAGTATCGGTGGAACGTTTCTTCAATTCCGCCCTTGCCTTCTTGAATTCTGGAAAGTGAGGGAAATAAGTCGGATTGTACACACAGGGAGAAACTTTTCGAACGAAGGTAATAATAATATACGGTGAATTGCGTTTGCGTACCTTTGGCGTGTTCCTTGTCCAAATTGATCAAGGACTTCTTCCAATCTTCCAATTTTTCTTGCAAAGGCAACACCAAGCAGTCCATGATAGCACTAAGAAGAAATAGTGCGTATGAGTACAAGGAACTAATTACAAGGAGCCAATTAGGAACCAATTAGAATGTTAGAGAAGTGTTTACAAGTATGATCAAGTATTACGCTTCAACGTACCTAGTGAATGACTTCATACGAGTTTCTACCGCTTTGTGTCTCAGACATATCCGTGTTAATGCTGTCCCAATTTCCTTAGTTGCACCTTAATTGCGCACAAATTATCTCATTTTAATATTCATTTATTTTAATTAGAATTTTTGCTTGTATGTGTACGTGAAACGTATCCAATGCACATATTTAATGACTCAAACATAATTTTAAGTAATAATGAAATTCTCTAATCATAATCTAACGAGTTGAGACTTACCTCTTGCATTTGTTGCAGCATCTGCTATTTTCTGAAAGGCCTCAAGATATGCGGAAATAGCCAAGATAGCAGCTCTAAAATAATTATATCAAATTTTAAAGAACGAAAATTCTGAAATATAACATATTGTGATATAATTAAAGGTGTTACTGCATTATAGGGAATAAATAAATGAAATTTTTTGCACTAATGTGCATTGGAAAGATTATAGATATATTCTATGACAGTAAAGTAAAATGTGTCATTGCAAAATATCCAAGAGAGACAATTAAAAAAGTTCCTTGTATAGTTGAAATTAGATAAATTTATTCACCTTAAACATGTGTGCAACTTTGTAGCTTTTGAAATCAAATCTTCCCAAAGTGGTGCTCCATTCTATAAAAAAGGAAAACAAAAATCATTACAACACATCTGGAATCAAAAATTTCAATAATTCAAATAGTATTAGTCAAACTAGGAGGAACTAGGAATCTAGACTGACATATTTGCATGATAGATAATATAATCATACACGCCTACATATTTTGTTTAATCAGATAATTCTATTTCATAGAACACATTTCTTATATAATATGACATCATGAAAGAATGGACCATGTAAATAAAACACTTTTGTTCATATTTATTGATATTAATGCTTATAAAAACATAATTAACGTGGTTATTCATAAGATAAAGCACATATACATGTTATGTTTGTATATTGTTTTAACTTATTTGAGGATACAATGCAAATTCCTTTCCTTGCATATATTCTTCTCCTTCATGTTTATAATTTAAAATGAAAGTTTTTGTACCTTGGCAAAGAACACTTGCTTTATTTTTATTTATATGATTCAATTCTTATATTTTCCACATAAGTTGTATTTATAATCTCTATTAAATCATACAAAAGTATTTGGGATAAAAGTACCAGCATATTAATTCAAGCCTGATCTTTTAGTTACATTCCATTATACTACCGGAACTTCAATATTTTGTCATACAGTTTTTTTATCAAGTCTACTATATGACAAAATTATAATTCCTCACGAAGTACAAGAAACAAACTTTATAATAACTTTGTGTCATATGTGCAGATTCATGCAAAACACTGAAAACGTCGGAACTGATACACTAGAGGATCTGTAGACAAATAAAAGGAGCTATGAAAGATTTCAGGACTAATGTAAATTAAGAAGACCAGACTCGAGATCAACATTGCGGCCGACGCAAGAGATGTCAAACACATCGAGAACTCGGTCGAGTCTAAAAGAAAGAACACGTCCCTCACCTTCATGTCAGTGACGATCTGCTGAAACAAACCGCCCAACGCGCTGCACTCTCTCTCGATCGTCGCATCCATCTTTCCGTCGTCTGGCCTAAATCCTGGATCGACGAAGGACGCTCCTCCACGGACCCGCTCGCGCACGGCGGACGCGCCGAACTCGCGCGACGATGACGGCGAGTTCACTTTGTTTCATCGACGTAACGGACGTCCGCGAAAACGACGCACCGCCACGAACTGCGACTATCGGCGTGGCTCGTCATTCTCGAACGCGCTCAAGGGAAAGAAAGAGACAGAACAGGACACAGAAAAAGAGAGAGAGAGAGAGAGAGGGGAGAAAGAACTCCAGAGAAACGAGGACGGCGATGAGGAAGTAAGTGTGGACGCGTCCACGCGCGAAGCGATGTGGCTCGTCCAAGAGCGAGCGAGTGAGCGAGCGAGCGAGAGAGAGAGAGAGAAAAAAAAAGAAGAGAGAAAAATAGTAGACTCTACCGGATGACGATGTGTAGAGTGGACGAAGCTCCACTGTATGGAGCTAAGCTACTCTTCTCTGCTCGGTTCTCTGTCTCTCTTACTCCGACGCTGCGACGCGCTCACGTAAACACAACACGAGACTGCGAACGACAGACGACGTGTGCGCAATGGTGTGCAATACGATCGAAACGTCTTCGCTCGTTCACTCTCTCGCTCCCTCGCGTTCGCGTTGCGTCCGCGAACGAATCTGTTTTCCTTCCCTCGCGCGGACGCTGGCTGTTGGATCGTTGCCCCCGCGTCACCCCCTGTGCGGTGACCCCGTTCCAGAAATCGGGATCGATGATATTCGGTATGCACCTAATCGTTACCTCAAGGGAAAAAGCGCGATGAAGAGGGGGGAGGGCGAGCGAGAGGAGGAGGAGAGACCGAGGAAGAAGGAGGTACGGAAGAGGAGAGCGAGAGAGAGACAGCTTCCGGATGGCATAGAGCATAGAATCGCCAGATTTGCTGACGCTGTTCTCACGAGTCGCTGTCCAAAGAGGCTCCTTATTGGTGCAGCGTACAATACTAGGTTTGTTTAATTTAATTGTACCTTTTACACTTTTTTTACTTCTCTCTTGCTCGCTCTCACTCTAGAAATGTATCTGTCTATCTGTCTCACTTTAAGTACAGAAAGTGCAGTTGAAACGAACAGCTCTGAAGTTCGATGTTTTCCTCGTAATGTTTCCTAGGGTCCCCAGTTACTGGCTTTAGGAAGGAAGTTCGATTGATATCGGGAGAGTCGTATGTAGGAAACGTCAATGCAGTGCTGATCTCAAATCAGAAATAACCTTGATTGATTCTGTTTGATTCCCCCATCCGGTCGACACAGGGTCACGTTGAGCATGGACGTTTTACGACGAATTCGGCAAACCCACAGAACGCTCGTGAATATTCTTGTCCGCCGATCTAACGCGATTGCATCTTTCAAAACGTACTGCACCTTGACGAAGGTACAGACAAAACCACAATTGGTGGAGAATAACAAGTTCAATAACAACAATAACAAGCAACAGGAATCTTGTACACCTGTAACTATCGACGAGGCGACGATCAGAAGGCTCGAGAAGCTTGCCTTAGTCGGCATCGAGTATAAGCAGAGCAAACGAGTACTGGAAGAAGCGGTCGCGTTTGCCGAGCGACTGCGACAAGTACACATCGACGAGACGGTGCGTCCTATGTACAGTATCCTGGAGAACGAGCATATTCATCTGCGGGACGACGTGACATTACCGCACGACGTCAACCACCGATGTGAGATTCTGAAGAACGCCGCAGTACTGGAGGAGGAATATTTCGTGGCGCCTTTGACAGGTAAATATAGGATCAAATATATTCCACATATCATTTACAATGTGATAGCAGTCTTCAAATACTTTCCACGAATACTTTGAAAGTGGAAATATTCGCAATATGATTGAAACTTCTTGTACTGCAAAGAAAAGTGTGATTCTATCAGATCTTTGACGAGATTACATCACGAATATATTGTGGAACATGACATGGTATCTTATAATATTTGAAGTATGTATTGATGTTATTAAACTTAACGCAACAAATACTTGTAAAAGGTTTAATTACATTTCATGAGGTTACAATTACAGATGGTATCTGATATCATTTTGTGCACATTTGATTCTACATGCGATTATAGCTCTTTGTAGCCGTAAGTCATAGTTCTTCGCAAGAATGCGAAATAAGTTTGTGAACTTTATCAGTATATCTTACTCGATCTTAATTGAGATGATACCTAACCACTGAGTTGATAAATATCCATTGTTGATTATATATTGTTGAATTTGGTTTCATGCGTAGCAAAAAGCAAGTTTGGTTCAAAGGAATGAGCCTGGAAGCTGTATTGAAGACCGTCAGCCCGTATTTCCTCGCACTGTCCGAGCGTGGTTTCACGTACGGGCCTCAGGGCAGGCTGCTGCTGAGGAATCTCGAGGAGTACTGGTTCACATACTGTGTCACGATGCCACCGTACAATGTGTTCCCGTGCGACACCTCAATGAGCGACACGTTGCAACAACTGCAGAGCACCTCGATGGCCAAGGACGTGCCGTTCGCGCTCGTCACGCTCACGACGACTAAGAACGTAGGAGCATGGAACGAATCATTGGTGAACGACATCAGCTACCGGGTAGGGTCGCACAGAATCGCCAAGATTAACGTGATCACCGACGCGCTGAATTCGAAGAGTCTTCTGCACAACAAGCAGAGGGAACGCAAGGTATGGTGGCGTAAATTCGCCCAGTGCCCCTCGAGATTCGTGCTCGCCGAGGCGAAGAAGGTGAAAAATCTCGACGTGACGGAGATACAGGCGCGATTCCCCTTCGGCAACATCACCGTGGAGACGATCACGCATTATCCCGTCACGCGCAAATTGTATCCTCAGGTACGATGATGACACAGCGCTTTCCCCCTCCCCTTCTCCAACGAGATATCAGTAATGACATTACGGTGCAAATAAAGAGAAAGATAAAGGAAGAATTACTTAAACGGAATATTTATTTACAGACTGAAAGTAGTAAAGATAATGTCGCGGACATGCATATGGTCGAGCATGTCGCTTCTTTAGACTGGGGCTGCTTGGCTCTACTCTGCGACAGTCACATGTCGGACAAATCAAGCAGAGCGTATATTCATCCTAAATTATCGCCGTACAAAACCACATTTCGCCTAGAACGAGGGGAGAACGAAACTGCATCGGATTTAGAAGACTTAAGTCGCTTCGTGCTGTACTTGAACAATATGCTCAGGACGAACGGGATCCATACCATATTGACGAGTACAGACCAAGTCGTAGAGATGTGCCTGATACCATTCGTCGTATCTGTGGATAGGACTAGTCTCAAGAATGGCATTGTGCACGTAGAGAACCCCACGATGGCTCTGAAGGAGCCGGTCCAAATTACCGATCTGGTGGAATATATTACCACGTGCTGTTCTTGAATGGCACAAATCAACAGCGGATTTTCCAATCAATGCGTCACTTCGTGAGATATATATATATATATATATGTATATATATATTGGTATCATTATCACTATATTTACTTACTGAGAGTTACAACAATATAAACTGTAAATATAAATGAAGAATTCTTTGTTTCTATACATAGCTTTCTTCTTTCTGTGTAATCCCCATTAATGTCGTCTAAAATTTCTCGAATTTATAAGTTAAACTGCACTGAACATGTAAAAGACATGTACCGTGACAGGTGTCCAGTTTATGCTTCATAGCGTATTATGATACAAATGGAGTACGAAAGAGCAAACACAACTTAGCATAACGACCTGTGACACGCGGGAAGGAAACGCAGCATCGCCTGAGGGATGGATACATGGGGGGGGGGGGTAAGGAAGGGTTACAGGAGGAAAGATGCTGCGAGACACTCCGACACTCGAGCGAAAGACGTACACTCTCGCGAGTATGTGCATTCCTCGAGCCTCCAGGATGGCTGGAGTTGATCTTGGATTTATCGGCGACGCCGGTAGAAAAACAGGCAGTCGAATGTTTCTTCGATACGAGAGGACGATACTCTTAACTGAAGCTAAGCAGGTAATTGTAGCTTCTTGCCTTTGAGTACTTTGGTAATGTAGAGGTAGAAAAAGTCACAATATAGAACCGTTTGCACCAGTCCGGCGACTATGGCAATCAGGTCGTAGTGATCCTCGGCGTAGTAGCGGTAAACCCAATTGAACAGATACAGGCCTCTATATGATCCTAGTGCGAACAGATAATGACTGGTGATGCTCTCCGCCTCTCCTGTTTTCGAGACCAAGAATAATTGTGGCAATATCGCCACTGATTCGAGGTAAATGCTGAATGTCCACAAGACCTCCACGACGGACAGTTCATGATTGATCAGTAGCGCCAGCACGAATGCAGGTAAAATCAGGAATTCAATTCTGCGACAATTCATCCGTATGTCACTGGGCGCGTCAAGCGTGGCGAATTTAGCGGTCAAGCATACTCAGAGAATGTGTGATACTTACCTAAACGTATCGTGATTATGATCGTACGTAGCTTTGAATTTGACGTACATCAAGAATACCGTAGCGAGTGATGCTGCGATAAATACGATCTTCATAAACGTATTGTACGCCGAGATGAACGTTGTTACCAGGTCGAGGTAACGACTGGTATAAACAATCGCGAAGAGAATCTGCGATTTGCCGCTGATACCTGCGAACGAATCAAACACTGGTGATTGTCGTTGGCCGATTGACGCGTCGACGGTCACTCGATCGTAATGCAACATCGGCGCGCTCGTCCGCTGCTCAGTCGAGCAGCGAGGACGCGCTGCGTCCGCCGTGTGTAAAAACTACACGAACGGCAGGCGGCACTCACCGGCGCAACTCCGCGTCTTCCATATCTTCAAGAGGAGTATAATAATAGCTAGGAGATGCGACAGGTCACCTAAGAGCCGGAATATATTCATATCTGCGACAGTGGGAACGTAATTCTACGTAAAAAATGCGAAAGCGACAGCTCGCGCAACTCGGCTCCCCAGCAGCACACAAATATGACGTGGCTTCGGCTGCGGCTGAAGCAGATGGCTGACTCCCCGACCACAGTGCGAATACACCACGCTAGTGGAGCACCAGTGGGAGTTTGAGGTTCCAGGTGCTCTTTCGCGAGGAACACGACGGCAGTTTCATTGGCTGCGTGTTATCTTGGCAAGACGTTCACCAAACACCGATTAGGGGTCTACAGGAAGTGGAGGCCCTCTCGCGGAGACCAGCGAACTACGCGAATAAATTTGAGGCTGATTCTGCATATCAGTCGCCTTATCGCAAAATCGCAAAGAAATTGACCAATCACAGTTGACTACTCTTGACCGCAAGGAAAATAGTTGACTGTGATAGGTCAATTTCTTAGGCTTAAAACTTAAATTCTCATTGTACATTCCGCTTAAAGGTCGTTCTATATTAGTTGCAAGTCAATCACAAGCAGACGCAACGCTTGTTGCAACAATTAATCAGAAGTGTAATCAATGGTATTATTAACGCTTCCGATTGGCTGTCACATTGGCTGTTATATTTGCTAAGCGTTGAATCTAGTAAAATTTAGTAACATATTAGAAATATATGTAATAGCGTTTTGATATGTGAACATCTAGTACGTTATTTGAGCTTACTAAGTTCAGCAAGAAAGTAAGCACTGTTGCAGACTTAAGAAGGCTTAAGAATTTCGCACAAATTTCAGAATCATTTTGTAATTAAAAAGAAATATTCCAAACAGAAGAGTCAAATTAGTAAAATGAAAAATAAATGACAAAATGACAGTATCATCATTTATTTCTGACTCCATTGGTTTGCAATTACAATTAAAAAATACTTTTCAAGATAAAATATTTAATAAATATAAAAATAAATATAAATATCTAATAAATAGATTGAAGCTAACGATGTATAGTAATAGTAAAACTTCAAATAAAGTTATAAAAGATCATCGATTACATCTTATATTATTTTTTTCTTACCTGCGCATGTACGAAAAAAATATCATATGGTTTAATTTGAACCAAAGCACAGCAAGTATCAAAGTGTCCTATTCTTCAAATGGTTGTATATATGTATAATACCATTGTGCATAAATGCCATTGTGCAGCTATTTTATGATACGATTATAGCTGCGCAAAGACACATACGCACATATACGCGGGCACATACGCACATATACGCGGGCACATACGCAATTATTTCAAGAATAAGGACTCAGATTTTCTGTCTTCTGTCTTAAATATGACCTTTTTAATTTGCACGAACTAATGAATACAAAGGATAAGAAATTTGGGACATGTTTTTATATAAAATATTCATTTTTGATTAATAAAAAAACGTTTAATTTCAGTAAGTTTTACATATATTTTTACTATATATATGTTTTGATACTCGTGACAAACATTATATAAATACAATATACATATATATATATATTTACAAATATATATATATTTATACATATATATATATTTATTTATTTATTTATTATATAAATACAATATATTATATATATATTTTACTCGTGTAAAATTATATATATATATTGTATTTATATAAGATATATTTATATATATTTGTGTGCATATATTTATGTATATAATGTAAATTAATAGAATATATCATATATTCTAAGTATCCTGAAAAATAGCTTTACTAATAAACAGAGCTGACTTCCAAATTCATCTTTAAAGTTGATTAAATGCGTAATATTTCAGTCTTAAAAAAAAAGGGGAAAAAAATCAAAATTATTGAAGTTAACTTTTTTTCTCTAGACGTTTTTTTCTCAATCTAATTTAATGAGCGAAATCAATTAAATATTGTTGATTTCTTGGTATGGGGTTAAAGCTGCACCTTCCATTATTATACATAAATAATGGAAATACAAGGCAGTTTAAACATATTGAAATAAAATATGCTAGAAGACACGATCATGGAACTCACTTTCTGCCTCACTACTTGTAGTAGGATTCCCTGCTTCGCCAGGTTGTTGATGACGTACGCAACCGGGTCGCCTCGGAGGCGCCAAGTATTCAAACATGCTCTGAGTATGTTGTGCTAGCATCTTGCTAAGATCGCACGGCATCGGATCGGACCAGAAGAAATCGTGATTTAATGACTGATCCGCGTTGATTCTCTTATCAGGATCAAGGGTGAGTAATTTATCCAACAAATCGCAAGCGTGCCGATCCTTCAAGTACGGCTTCAATCTATCCTTGACCTGTACGAAATTGTTAAAAATTAAATTCAAACAAAAAAAACCTTATTGAGAAATTTAAAATTTTAAAAAGTACAGTGTAAAGCAAAAATTCGTTTTACAAATGCTTTACTATATAAATAATTTCACGAAGTGCAAGATGATACAACACTGAGTTCCGCTGAAATCTACCTTTCTCTTCTGTCCTTTAGGAAGGTCCGTTGAAGCTTTAAAAAAACTTAAATTTTCGACACCGGGCCATACTTCGGGTGTTATCGAACCGCACAACTGTGAAATCAATACAAGCTGGTGTTGCTCAGTGCTTCCTTGCATTATAGGCGATCTATGGATTTTAAATAATAACATTTAAAATATTATGAACAATAATTGAAATGTGCACTTTATTGTAAATAATACACATACCTTGTCCACATTTCGGCCATGATACAACCGGCACCCCATAAATCTACAGGCGGTCCGTAATTTCTATCACCGAGCAACAGTTCTGGTGGTCGATACCATAGAGTGACGACTCTATTCGTATAACGATGAGAATTTTTTATACTGAGTGCTCGTGCCAGACCAAAGTCAGCTAACTTTAGTATACCATTTTTTGTTATTAAAACATTAGCAGCCTTCATATCTCTATGCAAAATCTGTGAAAAAAACATAATCATTATGTTATTTGTATTTATCATGTAACTATTATTTGTATTTATTATGTAACATCGTTGCCGTCGTATTATTTTGGAATACCAAGTATTGTATAATTCACCTTATTACTATGAATATAGTAAAGACCATTTAACAGTTGTTGCATAACTTTCTTAATCTCGCCTAGATTAAATTTTACGTTCACATTTGACAACAAGCCAGCCAGGTCGTGTTCGCAAAATTCAAATATCAGATAAAAAGTTGAGCGATATTGATTATGCTGGGTAGCTGAAAACATATCACAAAATTAATTCAATTATATGTAATTATGTGAAAGTTACAAATCTAAAAATTTAAAATTACGTAACTATACGTGTTTAACATAACTACACAACCATCGTCATTTGTGATTACGATTATGTAAGAAAAAATAATATAATCTGTAGTATTTACCTCGTGTTCTACAAATCTCTATAAGTTTTACAACATTTTCATGGTTTAGCAATTGTAATATCTTTATCTCTCGCAATGCTGTAATAGGAAACTGCAACAATATTTCGTGAAATGTAATATATATTAAGGAAACACTGAACAAAGTATTTTCATGTCAGTCATATGATATAAACTTACTCCTTCTTTTTCATTTTCCATCAATATTTTTTTCATTGCAACAAATTTCTTATTATTTTTGTCCTTCGCTTTAAACACTTCTCTGCAAAATAATAATACATAATAAAATATAAAATTAGACGCCGACATCGAATATATATCACTTTCTATTACATGTCTCTGTTATAAATCCAACTTAACACGCAATATGTACGAAAGACTATTAACTTTGATGACAAGCTATTAATTAATTAATTTATTTATTTATTATATATATTATTTATGTATAAGACTTTTAACCCTTTGCACTCGAGGGCTCCGGAGCAGAGCCATTTAAAATTTGTCTTCAAACTCGAGGACTCCGCTATGGAGACAATGCAAATAGCAAGAGCGGAATATCCTATACACAATAGTTTTTACGATTTGTCTTTGTCCTTATGTTATGAACTGAAAGTTATTTGCATTGTCTCCATAGCGGAGCCCTCGAGTTTGAAGACAAATTTTAAATGGCTCCGCTCCGGAGCCCTCGAGTGCAAAGGGTTAATATATTGAGTATCATGCTAAATTTACACCTCTCTCCTAGTAGGCCTAAATTCTCGATATATTATATTAATGATATTTTATTGTTTCTATTAAAAATTCTCATATTTAGTAAAAATAGTAAAATACTTAGTAAAATCATCATCCACAAAAGTAAAGTTTAATTAGCTATATGTATATCAAGTATATCTTAGAAAAATGAAAAAGAGACGCATTTTTCAAATACAAAGAAATGTTTATTGATGGAAATAACGTACTGTAAAAATATAATTGAAAATAAAAAAAATAGATATGTACAGCTTTTATAAAAGAAAAAAAACATTCAGGTAAATACTTTAGGAAAGAAATTAACAATATGGTTCAATAATGAGTAAAGTACATTTTGTGATACATTGTAAACAATCTGAAATAAAGCATAATTATTGTAGTTCTTTTTCATATTTTTTCTGCATGTTTAGTTCGACTTAATTCCAATAGTGTTCCTATATGCACTGGCAATATGCTAAGTGTCTATAATATGTGTAACATAAACTGTAGATTTCAGTATTGGCAGTGAATATGCCTTCTTTCTTTGGTATCATCCAGTCCAAAAGTTAAGCGAATTTGCTTCCAGCAGGAGTGACCCATTTATCATGATAAGTTGAAATATTAATTAAAAATAATGCAATATATTGGATCTTGAAAATATGAAATTTCTTTCTTAACAATTATGTTGAATACATTTTACATTAATATATTTAAGTAATGACTTAAATATATTAGTGATCATGGGATAAAGTCAACTTTTTTTAAGAAACTGAACAACAAATATAACATTAATATAGGATTAGCTCTCTCGACACACTTGTATATGTTCCATCATTATTAATTATTTGTAGTATTTATAATATATGAAAATTATTATTAATTACTATTAATAATTATTATCCCAGCAAACATGAAGTAACAGTTATATAAATGTTAGTTGTAATTTTCTACTCAATAATATAACCGTTGTACAACACACGTATTAAATAATAGTTATATTATTGAGTAGGAAATTGCAACTAATATTTATATAACTATTACTTTATGTTTGTTGAGATTATTAATTACTATAATTAATAACTATTATTAGTTCAGTAAATTTGTCTCGTTTGATCTAGCATTCCAACATAGTATTCAATAAATATACATATAACTTGAAAATATCGCAATAATTTATATAAAATACATATGTACATATGAAATATGTTTTCAATGAAAACGTTTAAATTATAGCACAATATTACAGAAAGAAAATAATTTCAACAATGAAACTTTTACATACAACGCATGTTAATACGTTGGATGTTCAACCTTTAGATCGAACTGGGCGTTTTCTTTGTATGGCACGTTGTTTTCAAGTATATTTGCTTCGATTAAAATTAAAAAATATGCCATCAGGGGGTCAGATTTTTATATATAGCTGCACCCAACGTGTTAAATTGTACTTGTTAAGTAAAAAATTATAACATTAATGTAAATTATTCACTGCGATATAATGTTAATGTAACCTGAAACACACACGCAAGAAATGTATTATTACTCACCCAAAAGTTCCTTGTCCAATTTTGGCGACTTTTTCATATTTCAAAGCTTCATCGCAATGCGGGAATTGAAATTGCTCGACATACTTCTCCTTTTCCTTCTTATTCATTGTCGCCGTGTATATTTTATTCTTCTTCAAACGCCTAATTCAGGAATCGGGAGAATAAGTGGAGAAACGTTTAGAACAATGGTAAGAAATCGCGCGATATGCGAGATGTAATGCGCATGAGTAACTAACGCTTCAGCTGATCACGTGACTAATCACGTGACTAAAACGGATGCGTCATGCTTGCTATGTGGCGGAAATTTGCACGGTAACCAATAAACTTCTAGTTCTTATCGAAAAACGACATGTTGATTGGCTACTGCGCAAACTTCCGCTGCGCGGTAAACGTTGCCGCGTCTGGTAGGCAGAAACGATAACAACCACAAACTCATGTTTAGATGCAGCAACAAACGTTTCTTGTAGTCTACATAATTTTTAATATTCCTTTGTTAATATTCACGTTGATATTTATATAATAAGACTGTAAACGCAATAAATAAATAAACTTTTTATTTACAAATTTCTGAAATTGTTTCTTATGGAATTTTCGATCTGCTAACTTGATTTGACTCGGACAGCGTTCCACTAATCTTTTCAATACTGCAATCTATACTTCAAGTTACGTATATTATAGTTCACAATACTCTAGCAATTAGCGGAACGCTGCCCGGATCGGTCGAGTCAGCAAATCTAAAATACCATTAAATATAATATATCCTCTTCATTTTTATTAAATTAACGATAACATTAATATAGCTAATTTGGTTAAAAACTAGAGATTGCAAGCTTTAAAGTACTTTTTGAACGATCTCAATAGTATCCTTATTGCAAAAGTTACAGCCTGCTGAATTTCGCCTATATTTTATTGGAGTGGAGAGTACTTCTGAGCAGTCCTTGAGTCATACTACTTGAGAAATAGAAGTACTTCTGACTCCATCGTTTAGTCATATCACGACCTCAGTTTCTCGTTAAGTATAGTGGCGGCTCGCAGCGGAGATCCAGGAACTAAATTTCAGAAATAACGGGTCTAATTTCCAATATTAGAAATAACGAGTCTACGGAATTATTAGACCCGTTATTTCTGAAATTTAGTTCCTGGATCTCCGCTGCGAGCCGCCACTATACTTAACGAGAAACTGAGGTCATGATATGACTAAACAATGGAGTCAGAATTACTTATATTTTTCAAATAGTATAACTCAAGGACTAGTCAGGCATACTCTCCACTCTAATAAAATATAGGCGAAATCCAACAGACTGTAACTTTTGCAATAATGATGCTATCGAGATCGTTCAAAAGCACTTTAAAGATTGAAGACTTTAGTTTTTAACCACATTAGCTATATTAATGTTAATTTTCATAAACATTTTTCGAATTAAACGAAAAATGACGACTGATCAATTTCAAACTTTCGTCTTTCAGTTGAGTTTTCAGAGCAAAAAATTATTTGATTCGAAAATGTGATACAGGCGTTTTAGAGAGTTAAAGAGAAAACTTGTACATACAAGCGCAAAAATGGTAAGAATGACATTATTGGAATAATAATGAAATATATATATAATATTCGTTTTGCCGAAGAATTATAATAAATCACGTTCATATCTAATTACAAACAAAACTAAATAATGATCGATGAAATAACAAGAATCCATTTGTATAATCGATTTATTAACGTATTCCTGTATACATTTTACTAAAATTCATATCTTTAAGAGTATTCATCATATATATATATATATAGTTAAAATGTTAATTCAGTCATTTGACATTAGCTCTCCGCATTTCGCAACACCAATTAAAAATCTCTGTATTTCCAATTATCCATGAAAATATAATTAAAATGTTATACACATCAAAGAAAATAAATCGAAATACAAAATTACGCTACATCGTAACAGGGCAGACTTCGTGAGAATTTGAATTGTATAGGTATAATGGGAACCAAATTTCCTGTCCTGTATGTGACATTTTTAATCTACACAGAATTCCTTGTGTGAAAATACCCACATAACACATATATTTAAAAGATGTCTCAAAGATGTCTATTAGACATCTTATTGTCTCAAACACATCTTTACAACGTCTTGATGTTCTCTGGATAAGGTTAAGAAATCTGGGACATATATTATTATGTAAAATATTTAACTTTAACGTATAAAAGAATGTACAAGATTTCGACAAATTATACATACTATTGTAATGTTACAATACTCATGACAAAGGTTATATAACACACATACTCTAACAAATATTATAAAAATTAGCTTTTACACTAAAAAGGTATGTTCCTAAATTAATTTTTGATACTGATATACTAAATGTAATATCTCGAACTTAACGAATATGCGAAAAGAAGAAAAAAATCAAAAGGTAACGTTTCTTTTTTTTTTCTAAACATTTTTCTCAATTCAATCTAACATAGTAAAAATCAGCTAAATGGAGTTGATTTCCCGGCATGAAATTAAAGTTAACATTTCATTCTTGGAAATAAATAACAGAAATGCAAGTAACACATTTTTATGCATATTGAAATAAAATATGCTAGAAGACACGATCTTGATATCCACTTTCCGCCACAGTCGTAGTAGTGGATTTGGTTGCTCCGCCAGGTACTTGATGATGCGGGTGACGCATGTGACCGGGTCGTCTTGGAGGTGCCAGGTATTCGAACATACTCTGAGTATGTTGCGCTAACATCTTGCTAAGATCACACGGCATCGGATCAGTCCAGAAGAAATCGTGATTTAACGCTGAATCTGAGTCACATCTCTTATTAGGATCGAGGATTAGGAGTTTATCCAACAAGTCGCAAGCGTACGGATCCTTCAAGTACGGCTTCAATCTATCTTTGACCTGTACGAAATCGTTAAAAGTTAAATTTCAAATAGAAATCCGTGAAAAAGGAATTTTGATCTTTGAAAAGCACATAAAGCAAAAATTCGACTTGCAAATGTCTCACTATTCAAGCAATTGCACGAAGTGCAAGTGTTTGTATAATGCTGTGTTCCGCTGGCTCCTTACCTTTCTTTTCTGCCCCTTAGGAAGATCCATTTTAAGAAACAGTTCTAAATTTTCAACACCAGGCCATACCTCGGGCGTTATCGAGCCGCATAACTGCGAAATCAATATAATCTGTTGTTGCTCAGTATTTCCTTGCATTATCGGCGACCTATGGATTTTAAATAACATTTAAAATATAACGGAAGATCATTGAAATGTCCATTGTACTAATATACGTACCTAGTCCACATTTCGGCCATGATGCAGCCCGCACCCCATAAATCTACGGGCGGTCCATAATTTCTATCACCAAGCAGCAGTTCTGGCGGTCGATACCAAAGAGTGACAACTCTATTCGTGTAACGATTAGAATGACCATTTTTCGCACTAAATGCTCGTGCCAGACCGAAGTCCGTTAACTTTAGTACGCCATTTTTTGTTATTAAAACATTAGCAGCCTTCATATCTCTATGTAAAATCTGTAAAAATAATATATATATATATATATATATATATATATATATATATATATAAAATTTTGTGTGTGTGGTATTATTAATATTATTACTATATTTATCAATATTATGCAATACCATCGTCGCCAACAATATTTTAGAAAATAAAGTACTATGTAACTTACCTTATTACTATGAATATAATAAAGACCATTTAACAGTTGTTGCATAACTTTCTTAATTTCCCCTAGACTAAATTTTACATTTACATTTGACAATAAGCCAGCTAGATCGTGCTCGCAGAAATCAAATACCAGGTAGAAAGTTGAACGATACCGATTATACTGGGTAGCTAAGAACATGTTATAAAATGAATTCAGTTATAATTATATAAAGATTACAAATTAAAAATATATGCTTGCATAAATATACATGTTTAACATAAT